ATGCATTACCACACCTCTAATCACATCGCCGTGAAACTTTGGGACGTTGTTGAGAATATTCCTGGGGAGGTTTCAGCGAAAAAAAAAATTTCAAATTCGCAGGGGTGGCGCCCCGGCAGGGCGCGATTTGTTTTTTCTCTATATACGGTATATAAAAAAATAAAAGTCAATTTTGGTTATGCATCTTTCAGCCGATAGCCATGAGTCTTTGTGGAGTTCATTACACCACTCTAGGGAAGGATTACGTAAAAAAAATATTGTTAATTTCGCAAGGGCGGCGCTACGGGAGGGTCCTATTTTTCTCTATATACTGTATATAAAAAATAAAATTCAATTTTGGTTTGACATCGTTCATCCGATAGCCATGAGACTTTGGAGAAATAATTATACCACTCTAGGGAAGGGTTCTGTAAACAAATAATCTTTAATTTCGCAAGGGCGGCGCCACGGGAGGTTCCGATTTTTATCTATATACGGTATATAAAAATAATAAAAGTGAATTGCAGTGACACTGTTCATCCGATAGGCATGAAACTTTGGGGAGTTCATTATGAAACTCTAGGGAAGGGTTCTGTAAAAAATCATTTTTAATTACGCAAGGGCGGCGCCACGGGAGGGTGCGATTTTTCACTATATACGGTTTATAAAAATTTAAGTCTATTTCGGTTTCACACCGTTCATCCGTGTACCATGAAACTTTGGGGAGATGATTAGATCACTCAATGGTAGGGTTCTGCAAAAAAAAAAATAATAATAATATTGCAAGGGCGGCACCCCAGGGGAGAGCGATTTTTTCTCTATAGACGGTATATAAAAAATAAAACTCGGATGCGGTTCATCCGAGTGCCATGAAACTTTAGGGAGTAGATGAGAATACCCCGAGGTTATTTCTGCGAAAAAGAAAACTAAAGTTTCTTATGGGCGGCGCCATGTAGGGTACAATTTTCGTCAATACACGGTTTGGCACCCAAAGTTTTAGAGCGACTGTGTTGGCACTTGGCATCCGTTAATCGAGCGTCCTGCATAGCGAGTAAGGGGTACTACTATATTCAGCGGTAAAGCTACAACAGGCTTCGAAAAATAACTTTGTAACACGAGGAAATCCTTCTGTACAGTTTCGTCACCTTGCGAAAGATGAAAAAATAACTTTTTGAATATGATGAGCCTACTGTAAAGTTTCGTCACTTTGCGAATGATGCAATAAGCATCTATTATAAGCCGATCCAGTCAGAAATTGAGATCGAGCATCTAATAATAGACCATTAGTAACGCTACCATATTGCATCAGTCACACTGATGTTTAAAACACGTCAAATAATTTTTTTTACGTGTTAAAGAAAAAAATCCTGTTCATTTGTGTCACTTTAGCGAATGACGAAATCTGCATCATTGTTTACAGGATGCTATTTGGCACGCTGGGTTATCCTATGAGCACGATGGCGCTTGTTAGTTTTAAGGAGCCAGGGGTGATAGTACTAACAGAAACATAGGAGAGTAGGTTATATTTTCAAACAAAATCTGTAGAAGTCAATAGCAGACAGAAAGTGTACCCGTGTAGGTAATACTAGCAGACAGAGATTGAAGGTGATACTATCTGGCATATAGTGTAGGTGATACTCTCTGAGAAAGTGTAGGTTATTGTTTAGGTGATAGTATCTTACAGTGAGTGTAGGTGATACTAGCTAATATGGATCTTAGGTAATTATGTCACACTAAAGATGATTGTAGAAGTCGAGCTTATGTTTGGGTTTGGGACAAAAGGCCGACATCCAAAAGTCCGACAAGACAAAAGGCCGACACGGACAAAAAACCGAAACGGTCAAAATGCCGAAATGGACAAAAAGCCGATAGCCAAAAGGCAGACAGTTAAAAGGTCGACAGTGGTCGGCGTGGTCGAGTCGGTTAAGCTCATAGTTGCTAAACCGAAAAGTCTCGAGTTCGAACCCTCGGGCAGATGAGGCTCGTTAGCTGGGGACAGCTTCTAGGAGAGACTACTCCAAAATCAAACAACTGCTGCCTTGTAGTTTGTTCTTGGTTGAAGCAAATCCAAAAAGAAAAGCAGGCTGAATTCGGAGTCAGTGGCCTCAATGGCGCAAAACCAGTTCACACGTAATCCTTAATTGTGATGGAAGCATGGTCGAGTCGGCAAAGCTCATGGTTGATAAATTCGAAAAACGTCTCGAGTTCAAACCTTCTGGCAGATAAGGCTCGATCCCTCCCAACACTAAAAATTAAGAACGAAGAAGAAAAAGAAAAGCATAAAATATACTAATATCGCAAAACATGTGTTACTGAATAGTGCCTATCTTGACAACCATCGAAATAAGGCATGAAATAAGGTGAAATGTTCAAGAGACGATGCTAGTTACTATCCTTATAAGATTACGAGAGTTTCTTAAATTCTAAGAATTAACACCTAAATATAGCGACATGCTTTCACAACTGTTTTCATAGCTCTTTTTATGTCAGCCAGATGAAACAACCCTCAAAGAACAAAGTCAAAAGCCGCCGGCATCATCATTTACATGGAACAAGGTGGAATGCCATAATTTAAGACAATGCTAGTTGCGATCCTTATAAGGTGAACAATGGGATCCATGCGACTAGCAATGACGGGAGTATACAACGGATAAACAGGTGGGTGGCGTCATCACCATATTCCGAAAAGAAACCAAATGAAGTAGACCGATCACATGCATTGACTTGGCTACATGTTAAATACCGTCAAACTTTGAATTACATTTTTAGATTTCTCCATTGCGGATTGTGTAAAACTAATTGTATACTATATTCGTTGGATTCATAAACGTGATACTAGCAGACATAGAGTGTAGGGGATAATATCAGCTTAAGATAAACCAACAAAAGTTGTATTCGTCTGTAAATATTGTATTTGGGAGATGCAGCAAGCAGACACTGGTTTACAGTTAGTTTAATCTTAGATAGGTTGTATGGATGATAGTAGAAGACAGAGGGTGTAAGTGAAACTATCTGTCAGAAAGTTATGTTCAAACTAGCAGAGCGACAGTGAATGTAATACTAACACACAGAGACGGACCTATTTTTGTTTTAAGTAGAAGATATTATAAAAATATTAACGTTTCAAATCGTGTCTGACGTCTTTTGCTCTTTCTGAGAGAGCTGTGTCTATTAACTGCATTTTGATAGATATTGTCTTGAATCCCCTAGCAGGCCTGTAAATCTTCTAAGGCTGGTCTGAACATTAAGCTTAATTCGTGGGCGGTAGAGAAAAACGTGTTAAAGTTTTGTTTAAAATTTCAGCTGTAAACTTATAAATCCATTGTTTTGTCTCAAAGAAACAAAACGGTATGTGCACTTGATACCGGTACAATAACTTTTCTCTTTGTAGGCTAACAAGCTTGGCACTATTTTACTAACAGCCACTTGAAGACTCTTTCTGTAAGGTTTAAACGGCAAGATTTGTCATATTCGTTGGTGGTGATAGTGTACCATTTCTTTTGGTATCAATACTATTCATGTTTACGATAACGTTTGCAAAAAAATTATTGTTCTGAATTTACCAATAAGAAAGACAACCATAAAATTCTATTGCATGAAAAATATTTTTATTGTTACTTCCCTTTGACCATTGAAACTTTGTCCATGCAGAGTTAATTAACACGCGTAAACTAAAGACCAAAGACACAAATACTTAATGACTAAAAATAAAACATTACACAAGTCAAGAAGACATCATATAATATAACCATTGCTATACAATATATGAATGTCCATATATTACTATGGCGGTTAATAACTTCGTTTGTTGAGTATAGAGAGATTTAACATGTTTTTTAAATGCACTCAGTTATATTGTGCTGTCTGCAAATAATTTTTAAACTGATAGGACATTTTATCTCTACAACCTGCACTTAATATATTTACATTGCTTTATGACTTAGCGTAAAACAATGCCAAGACACGTAGGCCTACCTACCTGTCTTTACCAATGATTGGCTACGACTGGTCCTCTCATTGTTGATCAGACCGTTCTGACTGGCTAAAGGCTAAGGTAAGCTACGACCTGGTTATACTACATGTTACATTGTGTCACAACAGTGAAGAATTTTTATAATGTCTGCATTTCAAGTCAGATAAAGTCGAGGAGAAGAAAGTCTGGTGTAGTGAATGATAGTGGATGGTACAGCTAGAGCAGCAAGCATGGGTAGAGTTGTAGTTAATGGATAATATACAGTAGCTTATTCTGGATTAGATAGGCTCGTGTATGTTAGTTTGCAAGCAACAGCTTGTAAGTAATTTAGAGATTTATATTAAAGCATAAAGCAGCTTCCCTTTTATTGAGTGTAACAATTGTGTCACAACAGTCGATGTTGTAGAAATTAAACCAAAAAAAAATCTGATCGCAAGATTAAATCTAGAAGCAGGTCGAACAGTTATGTGAAACGTTCCATATGGGAACGATTTTTAGAAAGAATTAGTAATTACGTTATAGCAGAGGCGTAGCGATGGGGGGGGGGGGGCAGGGGGGTACATATGTCTCCGGGCGCCGACCTAAGGGGGCGCAAAAATGGGTTGTAAAAACAAATTAAAACGTCGTTTTACTAAATTTTAGCTGTATTTTTGCATTATAAATAGTTTGAGGGGGCGCCAAATTAAAAGTTTGTCCCCGGGCGCCGGGAAGGGTCGCTACGCCTCTGCGTTATAGTTCATTCTGAATTTGATTCTATTCTATTTTAAAACTTTTTGGATTTTAAAAGTTTTCACTAATTTATAAATTTGCCAAACGGATTGTTTGAGCTAGTCATGTAACAGCTGTTTCGTTATTTTACACAATAATAAGTTTTCTCTAAAGATACAAGTACTTCAAAACAGAAACATTACGAAAATCATTTTCCTAATTTTAATGTAGATGACTTTATCTTGCAAACACACAATTTTTACAATAACATAACCATACAATTGTAGTTTAATGAATTATATATTGCTTTTTAAAATTTAAATGAGTGAAGTATAAAGAGCTTCTGTCTACCTAGCAACTCACAGATGACGGTGTAGGAGAAATGTAGATTCAACAATTTAAAATATTTTTTCTTATATTTATAGGACTTAGGTGCTTCAAAAAGTTCCTTTAATATATATTTTACTGTTTTATATGGTTATTATTATCGCGTAATTTTCTTTAGTATGTTGTCATGTATTGAAAGTAGTAAAATTCTATGAAAAACATTTCTGCTATTACAAAAGAATTATATTTTTGCTTCCATTTATACGAAATTTATTATCATTTGGAAAATGGTAAAAAAAGAAAGATAATGAAGAAAATCTATAGTTTTAAAACATTTTCATTGTTGCTTCCCCTTGGCCGTAAAAGTTTTCCTATTCAGTTTCAACACGTCGTTGGTCTTTATAAAATACACAACTAGCACTTGTCAGATAAAATGTCGGGTATATTTTTACCAGTAAAGCTTGTAATTCCTTTGATTTATATTACATAAATTACAATAGATCTCAAATATACTTAAAAATAAAACATGCCCGTATAACCTCTAAGTGTTTTGCGAGCTAATTTTGAACCGTTGGTTTTGTTCATTAACCATGGTTTTAAATTTTCCAAATATTTACCTAATTTTGCCAAAAAAAGCGAAAGAAGTCACGGTATATTTAAAATGTGAAGGACAATCTAGCAGATGAAATAGAGTTAAATTATTTCTTTCAACATGACTTTTGAATCAACTGTGTGGTCACAGACTCGTTTATATTTTCCGATTTTACTCAGGTACCCATTAAAGCTGGATGGACTCAGGTACCCATTAGAGCTGGATGGACTCAGGTACCCATTAGAGCTGGATGGACTCAGGTACCCATTAGAGCTGGATGGAATCAGGTACCCATTAGAGCTGGATGGACTCAGGTACCCATTAGAGCTGGATGGACTCAGGTACCCATTAGAGCTGGATGGACTCAGGTACCCATTAGAGCTGGATGGACTCAGGTACCCATTAGAGCTGGATGAACTCAGGTACCCATTAGAGCTGGATGGACTCAGGTACCCATTAGAGCTGGATGGACTCAGGTACCCATTAGAGCTGGATGGACTCAGGTACCCATTAGAGCTGGATGGACTCAGGTACCCATTAGAGCTGGATGGACTCAGGTACCCATTAGAGCTGGATGGACTCAGGTACCCATCAGAGCTGGATGGACTCAGGAACGAGAGACTTATATTTTTACATGCGAGTGTTCTATCACCAGTTGGTGAAAGTATTTAGAAGAAATAAGAATAAAGAAAATGTTTACACAAGTGTCTGTCTATCAGAGCGACAAACTCCGATCTCACTTAACATTTCTATTGGAGTAGGACAATACAAGATGTAGATCTTAACGGTTGTGTTTGGTAACAGTTAAGTTTATTTGAACGTCACTTCAATGAAGTAGATCATTACTAGACATTATTTATCCTTATATAGGCTACATGTCGGCCTTGTCGTTACAATGAATTGGGAATGTTTTAAAACCGCCGACAGCATAGCGTTATACCAACATCAGTATCAACAAGTTGTTTGATAACAATTTACTTATTCTATGTTTTATTTTGTTCATTTATTTTTTAGTATGTAATAATTTTGTAAACAAAAAAATAGCATGAAATTTAATATGTAAAGATACAATTCATGGCAAGGTTAGAACAACAATGTTGCCGACATTTGTTACAGAGAAAATATTTACAACATTAAACATGAAATGTGCCCAAAATACATTATGGTAGATGCAAATTACAATGGTTAAACGGTTTGAATCAATCAAAACTTTTGTTTTAATTATTTAAATGTTATAAAATGTTTACAACATATGCAAGACTTTACACAAACAGTTTAAGGACGGGAAAGGTTCCGCCATTTTGTTTGTTCACATTGTGTAGACAAGGGGAGAGAACTAACAGTTACATCAGCACAACCACTCCCCACTATAATTTTCTTTAGAGTCACATCCACTGTGGGGGTGGCCATACAACCACCTGTCATATCCCAGCCTGTAGACAGTCGCTCCACTGGAGCCTGGACATGTACATGTTGTGTACCAGTACCTGGTGCTGGGCCAGGAGATATCACCAAAGACATCATCATCATCATCAACATACCTCTCATGTCTGCGTGTCCATTGTCCTACAGAGACCTGTTTAGGACAGCCATGAGGATGCGACACTATAACGATCAACTTGTCCACATCATCAAATCTCATGTATTTGTTCATTACTTCCCTACATAGACCATCAAAGCGCAGACACATCTTGTCCAGTTCATCAACCAACTCTAAGTCACATGTCACATACCTCAACACACACATGTCTCCCTCAATGTCTGCCCTACCGTCTATCTCCCAGCCATCAAGACTGACCACTTGACTTTTATTGTCATCAAAACCTAAAACACAACTGGTCTGTCTCCCCTCACTGTCATCAAACACCACATGTGTGGCTGTCAACACACGAACCATCCCCCACACTTTGCTGGGTGTGGCAGAGACTTGACACTTGGCACAACGACAAGTTCCGACACTCTTTGTGTACTTGATCACACCACACACCCTCCCCGTCCCTAACCTCATCACGTGACTTCCTCTGTCATTATAACATGGATATGGAACTTGAGTGCCTGGGTAAAACTCTGGTCTCTCTAGACTGGTGAATTTAGTCTTTACCTGGACAGTTAGGGCTGCCAATGTTTTGATTGTCTCAGACATGAGGTCGTCATCATGGTAACGTGAAGGGAGACAATGTGAGTTGAAATCTTTAAGAGGTATAAAACCTTTGTGACCTGGATTCTTCTTACAGCCAGTAACATGTTTGTGTAGATCAGCTTCTCCTCCATAGCACATCTCAGCTTCATGATTTCCTACAGGAATAGGGAAAACAAATTATTTAGACAGCCTAAAAATTTAAACACTGATATAAAATGCACCTATTATTATTTTGGTTAGCTATACTATGTTTACACTTACACTTGATTTAGCAGTCTGATCTAGATATAAATTAAACTTTTACTATCTCCTTCGTCTAATGAACTATTTTCTTCTTCTTCTTCGTTCTTAATTATTAGTGTTGAAGGAGATCGAGATTTATCTGCCAGTGGGTTTGAACTCGAGACTTTGTTCGAATTTATCAACCATGAGCTTTTTGCCGACTCGACCACGCCTCCAACACAATTAAGCGTTACGTGTCAACTGTTTATGCGCCATTGAGGCCATTGACTCCGATTTCAGCCTGCTTTTCTTTTTGGATTTGCTTCCATAGCCTTTGTCCAACCAAGAACAAACTACAAGGCAGCAGTTGTTTAATTTTGGAGTTGTCTCTCCTAGAAGAGTGGCTGTCCTCAGCTAACGAGCCTCATCTGCCCGAGGGTTCGAACTCGAGACTTTTCGGATTAGCAACCATGAGCTTTACCGACTCAACCACGCCGTCCCCTATGAACTATAAAATTACTAATAGTAAAGTCATCTAAATGTTATCACTAGCACAGATTTAAAATTGTTTAGACTAGAGTTGTCTTATGTTTGTCATATCTTACCTGGAATAAAGACACCTGTTTGGTCACTTGTGGAAACTTTACTTGGGATCTCACAGTATGGCACATCTAAAATAAATAATAACAAAATATCACATACACTACTTATTAATTACAGTGACAGGAAATGTGACATTACTGAGAAAAACTCTTATAGCTTGATTAATACCCTCTCAAAGTTCAGTGTCAGATATATAATAAAATTTATGTTTGTAGAATTCATTGGGTATTTAGCATTTACTTTTACACTTAGATAACACATTTAGGTTATTAAGGAATGGATTTTTAGATCATTGAATTTTAAAAAATGCCATAATAGTTTTTAATTTAGCAAAATAAAGTTACTTAAAGATATGGTTAAAAGAATGATTTATCATTTATCTGGCTCTACCTTCAGGTGTACTTGATGCCTCCAATTTTCTTTTTCTCACTTTAATTGGGGTTTTCATGGTCTGTTTGACTGTAGATATGATTATAGATCATTAATATAAAATAGTAACTAGGTTTTATAAATGCACTAATAAAAAATTTAAACAAATAAGAATTTGTAGAATTAGTTTTACATCTCTAGTATTAGATACCCCTAGTAACTTAAAATAGATTTCTTCTAAATAGTGAAAAACACATAAAATTTAAACCAAAAAGGAAAAAAAAAACTTTTTGGCTATAAACATAGCACCTTTGGTATTCAGCTTACTATTTATTTGATATTAGCTTCTGATAAACATGTTAATAATTTTAATTAAATGTGATTTTCAACTATTTATTTTTCTGAAGAATAAGTTATATTTGAAAATGAGACCTTAAAATTACAGCTTACATAATAAATTACCTGATTAACTTTAATAAAAATGTTGGGATATTCACTAGCTGTCACTCACAAGTGTCCACTAAACCTTGAAAACAAAAGAATCTGGTTATTTTGATGAATACAAGGTAGATGAATGTTTATTTTTCAAACAATTTTTTTCTCAATAGTCAGAAGTGTTAACATAGAAAAAATATTTCAATTGATTCTCAGCTAATCAATATTCAGTTTAATTGCACTGTTTTGTAAACCCTATAGTCTTAATATCCATATAAGCTTGTTGGCTGTTAATTTTCCTCTGCTATGTTTTATAAATATATAAAGTATTTTATTTAAACATTGGACATAGCAACTAAAACATCTACACTAAGTTTGCAGAAACTGTAACTTATTCCAACATGTTTATACACAATGTGAATGTTTAAAAGCTTCTGTGGATACATTGCCTAATCCAATTAGCTTAGAATATCCCCATGCCCAAAAGTTCAGATGAAGTTAAAACACATTTCAAAAAAAATATTTATCCGAAGAATCTTGTTCGGTAGTAATTACAGCAAATAAGTTACCTAATTAGCCTGGATCTTTAATGAGTTTAATAAAAATCAGTTATAACATTTAACTTTGAACTATTAGTAACGTAAAAATAGAATAGAGTATTTGCATGCAATAACAGTCGTCAAATAAAAATGGTTTGTATTTCATATTTATTCTCAGGCCTAAATAAAATGTATGAAGATTAACTTTTGAAAGAGAATCAATTTGTCCTTCAATATTCATATTTTTTGTAGATCTAATTATGAATAGCTCTATAGCAAAGTTAATTGTTGAAACAAAAAATGTACACAAAAATTGAAAATACACCTCTATAAATCCCTAATGTTTATACTTATAAATGCATTAACATGCAATAATAAATTAGGCTAAAATACTACACTGTAAAAAATGACCTATTAGTACCAAACATTTGGTTAGGTGGTTTAAGACTTCATACTGAATACTATAAAACTTTAAAAATGATACACCTACTATTATTTGTTATAGACTAATTTACTTAAATTTACTTTGTTCCAGGTTTAGAATCTATTTTCTTTGCTTTATTTTTATTGTATACTTATTGGTTGAATTCTGCATCTTAATTTTAATCTGCACTCTTTTATATGACCCTACATTCTTAGACAGAAGTTCTAAATTGGATTCAGTTCTGGAAGTTGTATTGATCTAGAGTTAGATCTAGATTCTAGATCCAATCGAGACTAGATTTCTAGATCCAGTTTAATACTAGAATTTAGATGTAGATCTAGAATATCTATATCATTAGATGATTAGAATAGACATAGAATAGATTTTCAATATATCTAGTGATCTATTATCTTGTCCAGATCTAGATTATCATGATATATTATTATAGATCTACTACATAATTAATAGGCCTATAGATCTACAACTACCGATCTAGATTCTATCAACCGCCTAATAATAGATCTAGATCTACTAAGTAAAGTACTACTCTTAACTTGTCTTAAAGTCTTAAGTATCTAGATATATCTATACTCTAATAATTCTATAATAATTCTAGATCTAGTCTAGAAATGTAGATCTAGACTAGCTAGATATCTAGATCTAGATCAAGAAACTAGATGAGCTAGATGTAGATCTAGATCTAGACTAGATCTAGATGTGGGCCCAGATCTAGAAAACTGAAAAGTAGAATCTAGAAATCTAGATTCTAGATCTGGATTCTAGACTAGCTAGTCCCTCAAGATTTAGATTTCTAGATCAATGCTAGATAATCTAGATCTAGATCTAGACTAGATCTAGATTCTAGATCTCACATCTAGATTCTGGATTAGAATTATTATCGTATTTTTTTCTGACAGGGGAAGACAACCTACCCCCAAAATCTCACCATGAAAAAATTTTGTGTTTTTAGAAAAAAAATTGGGGGTACTCTCTGGTTTTTTGACAATAAATTAGTACTCTACTGTTTCCTCTCATTTCTACCACGTTTTTTGAACAGAAGAAGATCAGCTCTGTAATGAAGTAAAATTTTCGTTTTTCTGTGTTTTTTTTTACCAAGAAAACTTCAAGTGAAAAATAGGTAAGTTTGAACCTATTATAATTATTATTATTATATTAAAGATTGAAGCTGAAAAGTGAATAACTATACAGAAGAACCTTTTTCCTTTGTAATAGAATCATAAAATGTTCAAAAAGAAGTCAGCAATTTACCTAAATTAATTTTTTCCCTAACTCAGTAAGGCAGCTTTTTTGGCTGCCATCTTGTTTCCGTAATAGATAATATATAGTAAAATATACACTCATTTCAAAACCTCAGTGCTTTAATAAATAGTTGAAGATTGAAGCTGAAAAGTGAATAACTATACAGAAGAACCTTTTCCCCTTGTAATAGAATCATAAAATGTTCAAAAAGAAGTCAGCAATTTACCTAAATTAATTTTTTTCCTAACTCAGTAAGGCAGCTTTTTTGGCTGCCATCTTGTTTCCGTAATAGATAATATATAGTAAAATATACACTCATTTCAAAACCTCAGTGCTTTAATAAATAGTTGAAGATTGAAGCTGAAAAGTGAATAACTATACAGAAGAACCTTTTCCCCTTGTAATAGAATCATAAAATGATCAAAAAGAAGTCAGCAATTTATCTAAATTAGTATTTTTCCTAACTCAGTATGGCAGCTTTTTTGGCTGCCATAATGTTTCCGTAATAGATAATATATAGTGAAATATATACTTATTTCAAAACCTCAGTACTTTAATAAATAGTTGAAGATTGAAGCAGAAAAGTGAATAACTATACAGAAGAACATTTTTCCCTTGTAATAGAATCATAAAATGTTTAAAAACATGTCAGTTATTTATTTAAATTAATTTTTTCTTTAACAGAATTCAGTTACAAATTTCTTCACATATCTTGTGAATTTTGCAGAGCGTGCTGTTCCAGACAGCCCCAGAAATGATAAAGTGATGAAGCTCGACCCCAATAGCTGCTAGCGGATTGATGAGGTTTTTGGACAGAAGATAGCAGCTGATATGGTTCACCAGTATCTGTTGGTGGACAAAAGGCTCCTGCAATATGTCCTGTCTGTGCTGTTACAGTCAACGCAGGATGTTATGGAATGGCAGATAGCCCCTTACTTGACTGGTAGCTATTCTGACCCTTCTGAGGAAATGTTAAAATGGACTCAGCTCCTGCCCACAAGATCCATGCTGAAAGGATGCTGGGATATATGGACTTCCTGATACACTGAGCTTTGAACACCACTGGGTTTTCTGGATTTCAGGGTGAGGCATAGCTGAACTCAATCCTTCAGTGGCTGGAAAAGAAGTCAGAAGCAGAGCAGAAAGTCCTAGAGGGACAGCACTTGGCTGGTAAGGACTGCAATTACTCCAGAAGGTTTATGAATAAGAAGACTGAGATTCATGTACATTCTCTAATTGTGGATCTTGCAGTAGGTGACCTCAGTTTTGATTAATGTTAGTGGTGAGTTATTAATTTTATTATTTTTTGTTGGAACACCCAGCTATTGAATTGTTTTAATCAGCTCAATAGAATGTACTGGATAGTATTTAAATTTTAAAAGAATTAGGCCCTATTTTGAAATATTTTGTATTAAATTTTTAATTATGCGCAAAATAATAGCAAATTATTATAGCTGTAATTAAATTTTCTGTGTTGTTTCAGGGCTGATATTAATGTAACTTTTATTTGTGATAAATTGTGATATAATATTTCCAAATACAATTTTTGTAAGATCATTTTGCTGTTTTTGTTTTTTTGCTTTATGTGTTATCTCCCTTTTACAATATTTGTGTTGTTCGCCTCATTAATTAACAAAAAAATTGATTTCTCAGCTTCTAATTAAGCTAGAAATACAAATGAAGTATCTATGTCATGTTTACCTTTAACACTATTTAACTAACAGGTTTATAAGGTATAAAACTCACTAATTCTAATCCAATGCTACTAGAATATTCTAATCTAGATCTAGATTCTAGATCTAGTCTAGCTAGATTTAGATTCTAGATCTAGTCTAGATATCTAGATCTAGTCTAGATCTATTCTAGAATCTAGTTCTATTCTAGAATTTAGAATAGATCTAGATCTAGAATCTAGATCTAGCTAGACAAGATCTAGATTAGAATATTCTAGATCTAGATCCAGAATCTAGATGTGAGATCTAGATCTAGATCTAATCTAGAATCTAGATCTAGATTATCTAGCCTTCATCTAGAAATCTAGAGATCTTGAGGGACTAGCTAGTCTAGAATCCAGATCTAGATCTAGATCTAGATCTAGATCTAGATTCTTCTTTAATTCTAGCTAGATATTTAAAATCATAAATGTACTATTTGGGACCAATAAATTAATACAATTATTTAAATGTTTACCAAACTGATCATTAGAATCTATTACTCAGATAAGACTGTAAGATCTGCTATGAATTTTATTTTTAAGTCGGACTAACCCGAGAGTTGAAAGCAGCTCCATTAAAACAAATCGGGCGACCAAGGAAGTGAGAACGTCTGCTACAAATGATTGATCCCTTTTATAAATATTATAGTATCGATAAAAAGACACGAACACACTCCGGACACTATTTATCAAGTTATATATAACCAGGGGCGTAGCGAGGGGGGGGCGGGGGGTGCGGACCGCACCGGGTGACACCATTTAGGGGGGTGACACCAAGGCAAAAAATAACAAAATATATAGAGAAAAACTCGAGGGGGGGGGTGCAAATCAAAAGTTTGAGGGGGGGGGGTGCAAATCGAAAACTCGAGGGGGGGGGTGCAAATCGAAAGTTTGAGGGGGGGGTGCAAATCGAAAATTTGAAAGTTTGTCCCTGGGAAGGGTCTCTATGCCTCTGGGGGGGTGACACCATTAAGTGCCGCACCGGGTGACACCCGACCTCGCTACGCCACTGTATATAACTACTCAAATTTTGATTGCAAATTAGTTTGATCTGCTAAATAAATGCTAGATATAAAAAGTATCTACATAACTTTAATTATTTTTAATTATTAAGTTTTTGCATTATCAAATACTAAGGTTATTGATGCTAGTACTCGATTTCTTTTTGGGTGTCGATACCGCAAGTTTTAATTGCCACATTTTAAATCTGTTGACGCTTATGTGTTGGACCCAATTTTATGTTAACCAGTGTGTCTACTATTAATTATGGAATTAATGTTAAATGTAATTGCTTCATTTATGGGTCCATAAGCTGTTTAATGTGTACCTCGGAGCTATAATGTTTTGTTGCAACTATTTTATAAAGGCTAAATATTTTAATAATTATGTATGTATTATAGTTATGTATTATCCCTTCTGGCATATGGATCATCAATACTCAAAACTAGAAAACATCAATTATGGAAATGATGAACGTTATTTGTTTTTCAGAAAGAACACTGTTTCTTTTAAGCACTTCTTCGGGGGGTGGGATGGTTATGGGGTGGGGGTGTAAAGCTTCCCTATTAGGCAAGTCTCTCTCCACACCCCCCCCCCCTTTAACTTCCTTGTAAAGAATGTAGGCCCATAGTATTTGCCAATTCAAACGGCGAAAATACTACATCCCTCTACACTATGATAGGAGCCTACATACGAGGTGGTCACGTGGTTAAAGTACAAATATTCACTAACAAGTAACGCCTCACACTGAAACTTTACCATTTAGATCAGAGATAGTGGTAAAACTGGCCGTACATTTCAACGCCGTCACTTACGCTATCAGTCAGTCTGTTGCAAATGCAGTCTTGACCACATAATTTTGTCAAGTCCTACCCCTTCAATTGTCGCATATAAGCTGCTGAATGAAGTACAATAACACTACGAGACACACACTTCCCCTTCAAGGACAGATAACGGGAAGGGGACGGGTGGTGAAGTGTTGTGCTATTCTACCTCAGCCGCCCACCTACGTCACTATATGGGAACTGAATGATGTTGACTTTAGAGCAGCACAACCCAGTACTTGGACTAAGAATCAATAACTTGACTGTAAATTTGGTTTCTTTTTTCTTATGTCATTATAACTTGTATATCGTTGGTTCTAGTATGTTTGGGCAAATCGTATTTGCTACATTTACAATTGCATTTACACATCACATACAAGTACGATTAATTAAATAATAAATGTCCAACAATATTCTATAAACACTTGCCTTTTATTTAACGTCTCTATTTAATTATAAAACTAGAAGTAGATGAATAAAGCTAAATCAATCAAAGGACAAGAACATTTTACGGACAGTTTCTAAATTGTTGCAAAAACTATAGCGGTTATATGGGCTTATCGGTTAAATGTGTTAAATTTATATAAGAAACTATTTTTTTACACTCCTAACTAGTCTTAACATAACTAAATATAATCCAGATCAACCACTTAAATTAAGTTATTTCCTAATTTGGTTTCAGTTGCGTTTTTAATACAATAATCCCAATTAATAGGATTACAATATACAGCTATAAATCTAGGCCTATATTATTAATAATTTAAAGTAGTACATCAACAACAATCTTAAACTCTACCTTCAGATGCGAATTAAAATGTTTTCAAAATGGCCGTACAGTCAGGTACAACGAAATTCTATTTATAACCTATAAAATGTCCCGGTTTTCTGATTTCCCCGCTATTACTTGTTTATGGGAAATTAAGACACCGCATTGGCTAAATAACGTGTGGTCTATTTGTGTCATATATGTTCAAGTAAAGATAATACGACATAAAAGAGGGTTAAAATGTGTTGGACAAATATATTGTGTGTATTTAAGTACTTTTTGTAGCAAAGAACAGCGGGAACTTTCATTATTAACATCCTAAAAGTCAGCATATGTAAATTTTATACTCCCTTGTCCTCAGCACACTTTGTTATAAACTTTTTGAATATTTTTTTTAATAAAATCTTCTCCATACATTTTGATAAATTAATAACATTCAACATAGCATTGGAAAGCTTTCAGAAATTATTTCTAAATAAAGTGAAGGAACTCTGATAATGACTTAACTGTATAACAAAATAAGGCGACCTGTTTCTGGCGTAAATCGATATGTCTAGATTTATTTCAAACAGCAAATGTAAATGATCAGATTTATATCTAACTTAAATAGGCAAAATCTCACGTGTGTGGGAGACTGAAAGTGTGTCGCTCTTATCCAGCATTGTTCTATAACGTATTAACCGATTATTATAATATTTTAGGCATAAAAAATTACCAAAAGTTCCGAAATATGACGATAGAAAACACAGTCACAAAATTAACCTCTCTAGCCTTCAATTGAAGACAATCCCGTGTTATTACTGCCTTAATCATATCCGCATTAGACTTCACTATTTGAGCCCCAAATTATCAAAGATATGTTGAATGCTGTGTGTAGTTAATTCAACATTTTTTCGATTATATGAGGTGTCAAAAATCCTGATTTTGTTTTTCTTGAAATCTCGTTATTGTCAGCACTCGATCATATGCAGATTTTCGTTTGAGTCTTATAAAAGCATGATATACTTTCAGACCCTGTCATATTTGTAAGATTAGTATAGAAAACTCTCGGTATTGTAGCAAAGTCTCTGTGGCAATCAGCTCATTCATGTTTTTTTCCCAACATACTTTCTGACATAACTAGGGTAGCCAAATCCTTTTCTTCAAATAAGTGTTCATACACATACACATAATTCTTAATACACATAATTCGTAGATGGATATTATAATATTGATTAAATACAGATAAATAAATAAATAAATACACACACACACACACACACACACACACACACACACATATATATATATATATATATATATATATATATATATATATATATATATATATATATATATATATATATATATATATATATTAATGTAGGCTATGTGGAGACTATAAATATGGGCTTTATTGACGAGCTACATAAGCATTATCCTTACCTCCTTTTTAATCCATCCAGCTATTTTATAATCTGTCTTCTTACTGTGACGAAAATATTTTAAACAAGCAGATACGATTATTAGAAATATACAAAAAAAGAGGAATTAAAATAAAATTATAAAATCTTCTTAGCCTTTGTCTTTTAGTGACCACGCTACATGTGTCAAAAATAAGTTAAAAATGCCACGTAAGAGTCACATGATACTGTATCAAAACAGGAATTCCCGAAATGACGCAATGTTGCGGTGCTGTATACACTAGGCTTAAAGGTGTTCTTTCATTTCTTTAGCTACTGTGTATTAATTTATATATCTGTCGTTTAAAACAGTTTAGACGTCAGTGACTATTTTAATTGGGTATACGGAAAATAAAGTAAAACAATTACCTTAAAAACTTGATATTTTGTACATTTTTTTCTTGAGTTTATCATAGAATTGCATAATGAATCCAGCAAAATAACAGCAAAATCCTTATTGTATTAATTGTAAACGCCTATGCAACTTTTAACTACACAAAATATTTTCCATGAACCAGTAAAACTATCTGATGCGCTTAATTAAATACGTAATAATGTAATAGTACATCAACAACGAAATGATGCGTTTAAATGTGATACGATAAAATATCATTACACGGAGAATGTATCGTTAACTTTTTTTGTGTATTAAATATGTAAACCCATCTTCAAATTCTGTGACAGATAGTTAATAAGTGACGGGAAGAGGGATTTGATTTCTATCACTGTAAAAGCGGCAGAGAGTAGAGTTGAGTTAAGAAAATGTTTTATCATGTTCTTTAGCAGTTTAAAAATTAATATTCAATACTTTAGTCCTTGTTGTCTATTCTCACGTTCACAAACATTTTGTTAATCTTTTAATTAAAATGTATAAATGTAAGCCATGTAAGTGTATATTTGAGAAAGAAAAACTCGAAAGACGTGAAGTAGTATGCTGAAATGTGACAAATGCAGTAGTATGTAATATCTAGCGATACGTGGAGGGAAGAGGTGGGTTGGAGTTACTAAATAAACGTTATGAGGTTTTTTTTAATGAATGTCAAAAATTCCTGGCAATGGTCTAGAAATGTGATAGTGACACAGACCTATATACATGATATTGTAATGGTTTATACAGCACGTGATTATGTAAATTGGTAATTCATTATATAAACACACGCACTATTAGCTTATTAAAAGTATTCTCAAATATATTGCAACAGGAAACTAGAGACCTTGGTAACACTACCAATTCTCAGAATTTCTGAAGAGCAGTTACTTTAGGACAGCCATGAGGATGTGATACAATAACGGTCAACTTGTCGACATCAGCAAATCTCCTGTATATTTTATTTACTTCACGACAAAGATCTTCAAAGTGTCGCCACTTTGTGACCAGTTCATCAATAAAATCTAGATCACATGTGACGTAATTCAACCAACACCTGTCTTTCTCAACGTCTGCTTCTTCCACATTCCTGTCGGTTAGACTGGTCACGTGAATTTCATTATCGTCAAAGCCTAAAACACATGTGGTCGGTCTCGCTTCACTGTCGTCAAACACCACGTGTCTGGCTGTCAAAATACATAGGACCCCATAGACTTTTGTTGAGTGTGGCAGAGTCTTTACACTTGGCACAATGACAAATTCCGTCTATTTCTGTGTACTTAAAAATCTGGACCACTCTTCCAGTCCCTAACCTCATCACGTGACTTCCTCTGTCATTATAACATGGATATGGAACTTGAGTGCCTGGGTAAAACTCTGGTCTCTCTAGACTGGTGAATTTAGTCTTTACCTGGACGGTTAGGGTTGCCATAGCTTTGATTGTCTCAAACATGAGGTCATTGTCATGGTAACGAGAGGGTAGACATTTAATATTAAAATCCTTCAGAGGTATAAAATCCTTGTGACCTGGATTCTTTGAACAGCTATTAATATGTTCTTGTCTAGCAGCTTCTCCTCCATAGCACATCTCAGCTTCGTGATTGTCTACAGGGATGATGTATGCATTATAATAGGAAAATGCAACTACATTTAATTAAATTTCTACAATAAATATCTTCACATACATATATATATATATATATATATATATATATATATATATATATATATATATATATATATATATATATATTTATTTATTTATTTATTTATTTATTTATTTATTTATTTATTTATTTATTTATTTATTTATTTATTTATTTATTTATTTATTTATTTATTTATTTATTTATTTATTTATTTATTTATATAAATAAATAAATAAATAAATAAATATATATATATATATATATATATATATATATATATATATATATATATATATATATATATATATTTATATTTATATATATATATATATATATATATATATATATATATATATATATATATATATATATATATATATATATATATATATATATATATATATATACGTGTTTTGTAATGGCTTTTGTCATATTTTATGTATCTTAGCTGGGTAAACTGCGCTTGTTTTGTCCATATTTGTCGATTTTTGGAAATAAGTCGCATTACAAATCTAATATTAGAATTTAAAAACCTGCAGTTTTCTATAGACAACACACATACACAAATGTATTGTCTTTTTAGGTAAAATTTACATTTTACTCACTGCTATATTATTTGTCTAACAATCAATGTAAATGTTAATCATTTCTAATTTCTTTCTTTAAATGCTTAAAAATGAACTAACATATTTTGGTTGATTCTTCAAGCCCTCTTTTAACAGCTTTCTACTATAGCGATTTTATGAGATGCCCTGGGTTTGTCTAACTGTAAATTTATATTTATACTAGCTTACCCGTCCCCCGCGCGTTGCCGCGGGGATAGAAGAAAGTTTGACGAAATATATTAGAAGGATTTCACTAACGCGTTACCAGTCATATGTTCTTAGACGCGTGAACGTCTTTTCTAAAAGTGAGTTATTTAAATGTAAACAATGCATGTGCTTGGATCATAAATATCCGAACACGGGTTTACCTACACTATTTTGAGTGTACACTAATCACTCACCGAAATAATATGGTAGAACACACTTCGGTGACCGCCTATGTGTCCGAGAGACGTAGAGGGGCGCTCTCAGGACCCCCCACCCCTGGCTCCTTAAAACTAATTGGCGCCATCATGCAAAATAGCATCCTGTTAACAATGATGCAGATTGCGTCATCCACTAAAGTGACACAAATGAACATGATTTGTTATTGAACACGTAAAAAAATAGTTTTAAGCATCAATGTGACTGATGCAGTATGTTAGCGTTACTAAGGTCTATTCTTAGATGCTCGATATTAATTTCTGACCTTAGGGGGCGCCAAAATGGGTTGGAAAAAGTTTGAAGGGGGGGGGGGGTTCAAATCGAAAGTTTGAGGGGGGGGTGGTCAAAATCAAAAGTTTTAGGAGGAGTGCAAATCGAAAGTTTGATGGGATGGGGTGTAAATCGATAGTTTGAGGGGATGGGGTGCAAATCGAAAGTTTGAGGGGATGGGGTGCAAATCGAAAGTTTGAGGGGGGGGGGTGCAAATCGAAAGTTTGTCCCTGGGCGCCGGGAAGGGTCGCTACGCCTCTGGGCTCGCGAGCTGCATGTGGCTCTTTTGACGTCCAGATGCGGCTCTCCAGCTCCTTGCAAACATATTAATAGTTATCTAATTTCATTTTTACTGGTCGGTGGGGTACGACTTTACCCTGCGTTCAGTAGAATAGAAGATAAGCCTTATAAGAACCAAAGGATAGAAGCGTACGATGCAAGTTATTCAAACCGATATCCAAGCCAGTTAGAAGGCGTTTGCCGTGTTGAGGCCTGATTGCCTAATGGGAGACACCTCCTGAGCCATAAAGAAAAAATAAAATAAAAATTAACAGCTTCTAAAGTGGATCGAGATAGTCCTAGAATAATATTATTTGATTACTAATTTTACTATTCTGGCAAAACATGTCTATGTTTTATATGAATAAATATTATTTCTTATTTAAAGCTATTTATTTAAAATAACAAATCAAATTTATTTACCCAATCCTAATGAAATACCAAAATATTGAACTAAAAGTTGTGGCACTTTAAAAACTGGGACATTTTGTTGTAACTTTTGGCTCTTGTGTATCAAAAGGTTGCTGATCCCTAGGCTAGCAGTGTTTCTTCCAGACTTTTTTATTTCTCCAGGGGGGGGGGGGGAAGGGCTCTTGAAATTTTCGGGGGGGGGGGGGTAGATTCATATGAGGGGGTGGAATAGTTATGATAGATGCCTCATACAAATTACGGTAACTAATGTGTATTAAAGTAATACTATTTCAACCCAAGCATAGATGCAAATGTTGATTTATTTGATCAATATAGTATAGTGCGAGAGTTTTGCTGGTAAATTGGACAATATCTCGGAATTTGTTTGTTCTGCCTTTTCTGTACGGATCTCATCCTCAGGATGACTAACGTTTATCATAGCGACAGTCTTCAATGGGGCTTAGTGTCTTTCTTCTCTCTTAAAATATTCCTTTAACATATTGACATGGCACAATTGTCTCTTCTTCTTCCTATCGGGGGTCTTTATCACGTAATTCAAGTCATCGTTCTTGGATTCGACCTCATATGGGCCGAAATATCTGGCTTGTAGTGTCTGACCTCGTATGGGGAGAAACACCAATACCTCATCCCCCGGTGAGAACAAGCGGGCTTTTGCCTTCCTATCATACCATGTTTTCATTTTATTCTGTAAGTGTTTCAAGTGAGATCGGGCCAGCCGACAGGCGTCACTTAGTTGATTCTTAAATCTAAGGACGTAATCTAGAAGACCTTCGGTTGGGGTCGAAGATATCCACATCTCCTTAAGTGATTTCAGTGGACCTCGAACTGTATGGCCGAACACGAGTTCGAAAGTACTAAATCCCAGAGATTCATGTACCGCGTATCGAGAAGCAAACAGCAACATGGGAATTCCTGAATTGTTAAGCTATCCTCTGATACGCATTTTTACTCCTAACTGGTCTGAAAGAGGCGTATCATGTGCCAAGATCAAAATGTCTCTCCTGACCCAATATCTACGTCATGGTCAAAATGTCTCTTCTGAACTTGGTCGGAACGACACTTTGACGGAGCGACACTTTGACGGAGGACTCTTCACTCTTCGTGT